AGTTATCGCAACAAAGATTATAATTTTTCAGTTCTTAAGAAGTTCAAACATCATTTCATTATTTATCATCATTTGAAATAATGTCCAAAAACGCAGTTAAATCAGTCGTGAATGCTAGTATGTATTTCCGGTACCTTTTATGATCATTATAATGCTTTTATGTTTCAATTGGACACAGTACTAACAATCAAATTAGTTCAAAAGTTCTATCCAACTAGGTTGGCAGATAAAAGTTGGGATAATACCGGTTTATTAGTTGATTCGAGTTCTGATGAGGTCGCTTCTGATAGTATTCGTATATTATTGACCATTGACTTGACTCAAGCAGTAGCAGATGAGGCTATCAAGTCCAAATCTAATATAATTATGGCATATCATCCATTTATTTTTAAAGGCCTTAAATCAATTACTCCTCAAGATCCTCAACAGAAGTCCTTGATTAAGCTTATACAAAATAATATCAGTGTCTATTGCCCACATACTGCTGTTGACAGTGCTAAAGGTGGTGTTAACGATTTCCTAGCAGATGGAATTTTGAAAGGCTTGAACCAACAATCTAGAGAAACTATCGAGCCTGATCAAAATGAGGAAGATTGTGGTATGGGTAGATTGGTCACATTATCTAATCCTGTCTCTTTAGCAGACTTAGTCAAAAACGTTAAAGCTAGTTTAAACTTGCCTTACGTCCAAGTCGCTCCTGCTAGAGGCCAAGATAAAGACCACCAAATCAGTAAAATCGCCATTTGTGCTGGTTCTGGCGGTTCTGTCTTTAGAGGTGTGGAAGCTGATTTATTCTACACGGGTGAGTTATCCCACCATGAAGCCTTGTATTTCACTGAAACTGGATCATCGATCATTGCATGCAACCATTCTAATACCGAAAGAGCATTTTTGTCTGTCATGAAAAAACAGTTACAGGAAGAATTATCAGATGCTGAGATTATTATCAGTAAGACTGATAAAGATCCATACGAAACTTGGTAATAGTTCTAGTTACATATATACTCTTAAAATTACACGTGATTGAATCTCAAATATCTAATCTTATCATACAGACTCATACTGTAGTACTTATAGACTTAAATCGTTATTTCACATCTACGAATTCACTAATCACTATTAAAGAAGGTGTGAATCACTTTGTTACTTTCCATATACGGAATTTACTAGGTAGAAGATTTTGATATATATATTTTGCCATGCTGCAAATATGGCATAACCATCAAACAATTGCCCCACCAAAGGGGCCAGATGCATTGACGATCTACGAAACGCATGGAACTATTCCTCTTTATAATACAAGGGCTACTATTGTCCCTTGCTCAGATACAGATTATGTATTTTTATTTGGTGGTTTTGATGAATTGGATAATCTAGATAGTAACGTCTACCTCTTGAATATGGAAAGTAAGAGATGGGAGGTTGATGATAAGCATATAGGATTATTTCGAGAAGGCCATCTGGCAGTCTATATAGGACAAGGCAATGTCTTAGTTTTTGGGGGTATTCCTGATGAATTTCCTGAATCAATGCAAAGGACAGCAGTATCAGATGATTCAACATTCAGAAAAGATAGCTTAATGATGATATATAATGTACATGACAAAACATGGATAGGCCCACCTAGTTTCACATTGAATAATGCGCCATCTTCTAGATACCGTCATGCTTGCTGCTTATCGCCTGATGGTTCTAAGGTTTATATCAGTGGTGGCTTGGTTGATTCTATGCCATTAGATGATTTGTATTGCTACGACCTAGTTTCTGGAGTTTGGAGCGGACCTATAAAATTCGTTTCAAGATTTGATCACTATATTAAAGTCTACAAAGATAAAATATTCGCATTCGGTGGATTGGACAAAGACATGAATCATGTAGTTGATTGCATGACATATATTTCCTTGAACGATCAAAGTATCGGAAAGGTTTCCTTATTACGAAAACCTGTATTCAATGAGTCTCATGAAGATAAAAATGAGTTGAAACTTGCCAATGAATACCCTTATCTGCAAAGTGGAGGCTCCATGTATGAAAGAATTTATACCGGGGCAAAAATATTCCCTTCAACAGAGATTGAAATAAGTTTGCCACAGGCCAGCTCACATAATGATTATAATATATCGTATTATGATCTAGCAGATTTTAAGCATATTCCTTTAATTAATCGGGAAATTATAGAACTTACTTTGGGGCTGAAAAATAAAAATATAGCTACGTATTCATGGAAGCATGCATTTGTGAGAGGTCTGGAATCTTTATTCTTATTAGGCCTGACAGTTGAATCATATCTCAGACATGATGGATCGGAAAATAATTTTGAGGACGAGAATAATGGTGGAGATGTAATAACAAGTCCAAGTGAGAGAGAGGATGACGATCTGACGCAAGACCATGAAAATGATTATAATCACGATCTTGATCTTGATCATGATCAAGATGATGATAATGCAAAGCTTCATTCACTACTTGAAATTAAGTTATCAGATTTAGGCATTTCTGAACCTGAAAAGAGTCTCCCATCTATGTCTGATGATTTCCTTAATTTACTCATCAATGAGGAATTCACAGATTTTGAAATTATCACCTTCAAAGACGAAGTGGTCATGGAGGAGTATAACAAATGTCCAGATAAATATATTGATATAATAAATAACTCGATTACGAACCAAGAGATACTTAGTGATACTCTAAAGAGTATCAAAGTTCATAAATCTATTCTATTGGCTAGATGGAAGCATTTTAGAAGGCTCATTGATAGCGGCATGACTGAGGCAATATCAAATAAAATGTTTATTCCTGAACCTTACTCGTGGGTAAGGGGCCTTGTGTTTTATTTGTATACTGACAAGATCGATTTGAGAGAATTTGAACTGCCGTTATGTACACTAATCGATTATTCTGGTGTACTTATTTTATCAAATTTGTACGAGTTACCACAACTAAGAGTGAAATTATTGTCATTTTTATACAAGAAGTTGAGTGATTTTGTTGTCGAGAATACATGTAATGATTTAGATGATATTTTAGACGCTATCTTAAAAATTTGGATGAATGGGTTGATATCAAATGAAGAAATTTTGGTTGCAAAGATAATTGAGATTATACGGAATAGTTGGTCTGTGTTTATTAAGTCCACACCATTTATGAATTTGCCCAAGTCCTTAATTATTAAGTTATGTCAAGATTGCGCTGACATTTTTCCGAATCATAATGCAACAGCAAATAGTAATAAAGAGAGTACAGACAACTTACTCCAATCTCTATCTAATCACAAAACTTCCGATGATTCAATTGAAAATCTGCATGATGATTCGAACTTGGGAACTCCAACTAGTGGAAGTATTCGTGAGCTTCATTCTAACTCACCATTTCTTAAAACTACTAATGAACCTTCCCCTCTTAAATCTCCTCAACACATCAATGATACAACAGACTTTCCAAAACTACAATTCCTTTCAAATGTTCTTAATGATAATTTAAAAAATTAGTCAGGAGATTATGCATCATTCTCGACAATTTTTGCAATAATTTTAGCCTACGTTAGTCATATAAAATCTATATTGTATATTTTTCAAGTTTATTTAATTCAAATATCTCCCCCATATATGACCACCTATTTAACGTCCAACTCACTTTTATCATTACCTAAAGCATCATCAATCCAATCATCTACTTTATCTATCGTATCTTGTAATGATTCACCAATCTTATCCAGTATATCTTCAAGTTTATCATCAATTTCTTCCCATAGATTATGAGAAGTTCCTTCACCAGATTGTGTAGGTTCTGAATCAAAGAGATCAGTTGGCTTTGGAACCATTACAACATCCATTGAAGATAACAGGGACTCTTCAGAAACTAATGACTCGTATGGATGCATATTAGTACTAATTGAGATTGTGGTAGGCTTTTCTCTAGATTGTTTTTTCCATAAGAGATCATATGTAGCGTCTTCAACTACATGCTCAACTTCAAAAGGTAAGTCTGGATACTGGAGATTATCCGTCCAGTCGTAAGGTAACAAATTCGAAGAGGATAACAAGGTACTAATCGAGTCTTTTGGGGAAGTGCCATTATTAGGAGCAGGTACCAAGTCTAAGGTATCACAAATTAAATTGTAAACCTCTGTATTAGGGAACGGCTTTATTTTATTGTTGTACAGAGACTCTGGTAACTTTTCACGAAAGTATGGTCCACTACCTAAGAACAATGCCCTCATCAATAACTCAGTGTTATTATACCCGTGTACTCCTTTTGGCTTATAATCAAAATTATTGTCTTCCATTTGCTTCTTGGTAGTGACAACATAACCAACATCTGGGATTATCCATATTGGGGCTAATCTATAATTGAACTTATGATCAAATTCTTTTCCCCCAAACTGCCATTCCTTAGGCATACCTTCAGTTCTAAGTATACTGTAATGATCTCTCAAGGCAGGATCAACATTTTCAATATTTTTCATTATTTCATTTTGAATATCGTCTGTTGAAAATTCTGATGATGGTCTTAAACCAAAAAGTGGCCATCCGTCCACATGCTCTATCATTTTCATATCTATCACGTCATCTAAATAAAGTAGTCTATTATTAGAGGTCGGTGCCATGCCATGATCACTCACTATGATCAAATTCACAATGTCTTTTAAATTTCTTTTCTTCAACTCCATTTGCATCAAATCTACGAAGTCATCGACATAGCTTAATGCACTCTTAAGGTCTGAACCATTAATTCCAAATTTATGGCCAAATTGATCAATTGTCGGTACATAAGTTAAAATTAACTCGGGTCTCGTTTCTATTTCATCCTTATCTAGCCAATTCATAACTCGGTTAACTTTTGAAGATAAAACTTCTGAGCCATTATATCTATCTACTTCTAGTGGACCACCTCCAATTCCTACCCCATTTACCTCACTTCCTGGCCACATGTGAATTGCGGAATTTACTCCTTGTTTAAATGCTGTAGACCATATAGGCTCACCACCTTGCCAAAAATCTGGATCCAAGCCACCTTGCTTTGGGTTGGTATTAACAAACTGCTTGTCTAACTTTGGGTCAAAAAATGTATTTCCAACAATACCATGTTCAGATGGGTATAACCCAGTTACCAATGTCCAGTGATTAGGAAAAGTAGAAGATGGAAATGAGGGAATCATGTAAGGAGCACCATAATCGTTGAGCATCATTTCATGTAAAGTCGGAGTCAAGTGAGGGTTAATATAATGCGGATGAAACCCATCTAATGATATCACTAAAGTAGTAGGATAAAATTCATGGGTTGAGTTCGACAAGATTCTCTTGTTGTTTGATTTTGAGTTCATAAAAGAACCCTTATTTTTTCTGGAGAAACAAAAAGCAATGATCATTAAAATCAAAATGGTCATAATACCCATTACAATCGTTCTCTTGATCCTTTTATACAAAAGATCGATTTTGTAATCTCTCAAAGACCTCCCTTGTCTGTCATCATGAATTGAAGGTCTATCACTGACTCCATCGATTTCTGTGTCTTCAACACTTAGCATCTCATAATTTCTCAAGTAATTAGTTTTAGGCTTGAGATATGAAGCGAGACGTGACATCAATGAATCTTTCCTATTGAAACTATCAACAAATTCATAATCTAAATTATCAATAGATTCAGCACTATAGTCATCTCGGGAGGTACTGGATTCTTCATGTAATTGTTGATTAAATATGACATCATCCGTCTCATCAAGATCTGTCACAGGTATATCCACAGGATGGGGCTGTCCGTGATTCTCCAGCATGATCACATATAGCTAACTAATGTTGTTAAGTTTACAATATACCGATTATATTCTAATTTTATATTTTCATCCAGACACGTGAATAAATTTGCTTATCAGTATAAGATGAAGAGTATATATTCACGATAAATAGTATATATAACGAAGAGAAACTCTCCCAAGGTATGCAGGGACTCTATCATAATCTGTCGACGTTTGCCTGAGGTTTTTTTGTTTTGTCTTTTAGCAAATGAGCTTTAACTCTCAAAGTCATAATCTTATCAGGTTTTAAATCATTCCTAGTCAAGACTGCACCACATCCATCCACTGGACATTTGCTATTATTATTAAGATAATCAAATATAGTATCTTGCTCAAATATATGACCACATTTCTTGGAGATCAACGGTGTATGGTAATAATTAAGCGATAATGGATCCTTCAAAGATATCTTACCACCAGCGACTTCCAACTCATCATCCTCAGCCTCCTCTGGTAAGGGGTGTTGTGGGTTTTGTAGTATGAAGGCAACATTTTTCAAATATTTATAAGAGTCATTTGTTGCAAGGATGGTTTGGAACGAAGTCTCTTGATTATGTATATCTCGATACTCGTCATATTCTTTCTTCATTAAATCGCCAAAATGATCTTCATCGACTTGGTTCTGATAATACTCTAAGGACTCGAGGTTTAGCTCTACTTCCTGGCGCTGTTTCAGTCGTATTTTTAACTTAGATTCCTCTACAGATTTCTTCCATATACCTAATTCATATTGTGACTTTAGTAAACTTTCCAAGGTTATTAAATTAGTACTGAAAAACTTGGAATCAAGATCCATACTAGTCAAGTTTTCATCATCTAACAAGAACTTTAAATACTCTTCTGTTTGTGATAATATATTGTTGATAGATTCTTTAATTGTTTGATCAACTTTTGTTTGCAATCGACCAGTTCTCTCGAAATCTTTCACCAAGCTTTGATTCAAAGGAAAATATTCCGGTAGATCTATACTCCCAGTTATTATTGATTCATCTTGGGGCACATTGTTATGCGAAATGCCTTCAGAATCCATGGTATAAAAATGTTCCCTATTTTTTCACTAACGTTTTTTATGAAAAATCAAGAACATACGCGCAATACTTAAACTACCCTTTTATCAATTTACCAATGCCTACAGTTGTAATTTCAAAAATGATACCCAATATTTATTTGCAATGCAAATCAAAAAGTAACTAAATAATAATATATGGAGAGAACTGAAATGACAAATTTTTAAGGTAAGACTCTATTTAAAAAACTTCACCTTGGTCAAACATAGCATCAGCAACCTTGATGAAACCGGAAATGTTAGCACCCTTTAATAAAGATGGTAAATCTTCGGCATCCTTTTCAGCAGAATACTTAACAGCAGTAGAGTAACAGTTTTCGAAACAAGTGTACATGATGTTCTTCAACTTTTGGTCAACTTCTTCAGCAGACCAGGTGACTCTTTGAGAGTTTTGGGCCATTTCTAAACCTGAGACGGCAACACCACCACAGTTGGCAGCCTTACCTGGAGCGTACCAAACGCTCTTAGATCTGTTGGCTTCGAAGACATCAATAGCTTCCTTGGTGGAACCCATATTGGAACCTTCAGCGATGAACTTACAACCAGCTTCAACTAAAGCCTTGGCTTCTTCACCAGAAACTTCATTTTGAGTAGCAGATGGTAAAGCGACATCAACTTGACCACAGTGAGTCCATGGACGAACACCAGCAATGTATTGGACTTCGTTAGAGCCAGAGAAGAGGGTTGGGGTGTCCTTGATGATTTGTTCTAAGGTCTTGAATTGAACCTTAGCTTCAGCGATAGCCTTGATTTGTTCTGGGGTAATACCAGTTTGGGAGATGATACAACCCTTAGAGTCAGATAAGGAAACAACAGTGGAACCTAATTCAATAACCTTTAAGGCAGCGTATTGAGCAACATTACCGGAACCGGAAATGGCAACTCTCTTACCCTTGAAGGATTCCTTACCGTTAGTGGCCTTTTCAATCATCTTTTCAACGTAGTAGACGACACCGTAACCAGTAGCTTCTGGACGGATTAAAGAACCACCCCAGCTTAAGCCCTTACCGGTTAAGATACCAGACCAGTTGTTTTGCATTTGCTTGTAGGCACCGAACATGAAACCAACTTCACGGCCACCAACACCAATATCACCAGCTGGAACATCAGTGTCACTACCAATGTATCTGGCTAATTGTCTCATGAAGGCAACACAGAATCTTCTGATTTCGGAGTCGGTTCTACCCTTTGGGTTGAAGTCACAACCACCTTTACCACCACCCATGGATAAACCGGTCAAAGCGTTCTTGAAGATTTGTTCGAAACCTAAGAACTTCAAGATAGACAAGTTGACAGATGGGTGGAATCTTAAACCACCCTTGTATGGACCTAAGGCAGAGTTGAATTGCACTCTGTAACCGTTGTTAACTTCAACGTCACCATTATCGTTTTCCCATGCAACTCTGAATTGGATAATTCTTTCTGGGACAGAAACAACTGGAATAACCTTCTTGTATTCTGGCTTTTCGGTGAATAAAGTGGAATCTTCTAAAGCAGAAACTAATTCATTGTAAGCTTGTTGGAATTCTGGTTCGTGTGGTAAGACCATTTTGTTGACTTGTTGTTATAAGAAATTGTCGAGATAGACTATACTTTTTGAAAACTTTCATGTCAATTTTCTACCTGGTTCCAACCACTATTTATATAATATTCCCCGGAGTCCTACCTGCGTACCAAAATTTTTCAACCATATTGGAATCTGTGATTGTAGCCCTTGATGATTCAACCTTTCTGTTTCTATCAAATCTCCATCCAATAAAATGAATTTCCGACGATTCGCCTGTAGCGGAGGTTACACAAAATGCACGGATGACTTCAAGATTTCTTCAATTGCCTTTTTCTTCCGAGTCACAGGATTCGATGATCAACGGTTGAATCAGCATGATTGGGTGGATACGGCTTAGGTAATCTTCTTATCAGTGCCAAATCAACGGGTCCTAATCATCCAAACTTCGGAAAATACAGGAATTGCGCGAACAGACTGGTGAGTCCTCTACATAGAGTTACGGAATGCTTGGGAGTGGGCCGAGAGAAAGGCTTCGACATATTACACGAAGTGAAGCGGTCAGGGGCTCCGCCATTGGATTATGACTGGGTGGCAACAGAATATGTGAGAGACGAACGAGCGAGAAGAATGGGTGAGACGAATGGGTGAGAACGAACGAAACGAACGGGTGAGATAGATGCCGAATGAACGCTAAAGCAAGTAGAAATCGGTTGAGCCCGGTTGGCCAATTACGTGTGGTGTATGGGCCTTGGTGTATGGTTGTGTCTTGGACAAAGGCCGGATGCCAACTCTTCTGGTTAGACCTATGCACTAGTGCGTTGACGATGTCGGAGGAGGGGGAGGCCGTAATAGGACACAGTGGTTGTTATCTGTGCTGATGTGATTGTACGGAGAACCCCAAAATTGGCTTGTCGATGAAGGTTGCAACTAGTGGGGAACCATTGGGGGTTCTACGTCTGGTTTATTTTGGGAGTATTGTAGAGGAAACATAGATGCGATAGCGAAGTGGTGCCAGTGCTTGGGAGTGCGTTGATTCCTGGATTCCTAGTTTGTGGAGATCTCCGAAGAAACTGGAAGGAGATGATCCGTGTAGATAAAGAGATATGGCCCGGCAAGACCATACCAAAAGAGATGCAAAAAATAATATTCGTTATCGGTCGGAAATGGTTTCCTCATTGAATATGAAAGGTGTAAATATGCAAAGTCCCGTTTCTCTAAGTTGTGAATGTATCTGCATAGTCAAATACAGTCAAGTTATTTATCCGATAACTAACGGCACAACCAAAAGAAAATAGATAGGTACATGGTAAATCCCAGACTTATTACAAATAGTTTAAATGCAAGCAAAGCCATCAAGCACTTTCATATTTCTTGTGCATGTCTTTGATTTCTGTCATTCCTTTAGTTCAGCACTCTCTGTTGAAGTATGCTTCGCACCAAATAATGCATCGTGGCTGCATTAAACTACAGAGGATAAACTAACAAACAATACATTACTATATACAAACTATTCGTTAGTCTTTGGCTTCTCAATTGTGTTATCAATCGGCTTTGCATCCAATAACAGGACATCAAACACCTTCATTCTTGCTGTAACTCTTTCGTCGGTCACTAACTCCTGGACCCATTCAGAATTCTTTTCTTTACCAGTAGCCACCCATTTCTTAGGCCATTCCAATTCCTCTTCCTTAGCCATAAACTGGTCCTTATAGACAAATGGTCTCGATACGTTGTGCACAACAGCAGAAGTTCTAACGCCGAAGTCTTCGGCAACATTCCTTCTTGTGAAAAATGCATATATCTTACGGTGAGTGTTCAAAAATCCAGATATAATTGGCAATGGAAATACGTAAACAGGCTGTTCAAATAAGACTGGAACATTCTTTTTATTCTTGATGAGAGTTTCGTTTTGGAACTCTGGTGCATAGACTGCTGTAGGATATTCGTCCGCAGTAATGAATGGCTTGGGTACTGGTTTTTCGTCTTCTTCTTCATCTGTATTTTGAGTTTTTTCTTCTGTCTCTAATGGAGTTTCTGGTACATTGTCTTGTGCGCTCACATTGCTAGATGGTGATTCGGAATCAACTGGTACCACTGGTAATTCTGTTACTGTTCTCGATTCGTCGTTGGTCTGCGCGGTTGCAATTTCGATTCCAGTCAGTTGAGAATCAGCTTCAGTGATCGTTTTAATTTCGTTTTCAGTCAGTTGAGAATCAGCTTCTGGGATCGTTTTAATTTCTACTGGTGCTTCTAATGGACCTAATAATCCTTCATGGACCCCGGTCATATATTCTTTGTATGCACCTCTTCCGATACAAATAACCCCACCAGCTTCGAACGGATTCAATTCATCCTCTCTTTTAGCTTCAATTGGTTCGTTCAAGTAATAAAAGCCCAATACGTCCTTTGGTGAGTACAAGTCATTACTGTTGATTAAAACTTCTTCCTCTTTGGAATTTCTTTGAAATTTCAGAGCAAAAAAGTTTGGAACATCTTGCTTGAAAAATTTCGTCCATGATACATCATACTGCTTCTGTATCGCTTCTTCGCGGGCTTTTTTGGCGTTTTCAATAGTCTCGGTTCTTAATTCTCTAATTCTCTCTGCGACAGCTGCCCTGATATCACCTTGTCTGTTCTCCGTGAAAACATCAAAATCAATGGCACTAGCATTTAATATAGGCTTAACGTACTTCCTGAAATACATCATCGATGAATCTAAGTAGTCGTTTGGAGGTGGTGCTATGAAAACTGATAATTTTCTTGGTATTCTATCCGATCTGTATGCTTCTTCTCCTAAAGGTCTAAACTTTTCCATCCATTTCTTTCTTATTTGCTTTTGTTGATATTTGTCATATGCTACACCCCCACCAACACTGGCAAGTAAAGTCCAAAAAATCATCCAATTCCTAGAGGGTAATGATATTCTTGGAATTCCCATCATTCTTAATGCTGGATTCGACCATCCTTTTTTGACTGGCGGCTTGTTAACTTTTTCGGCTCCTTCAACTTTAGGAGTTGACCCTTTAGATGATTCTGGGTTCTCTGACATATCACCTAATGCTTATATCAGAAAACTTAGGCCCTTTGTATCTATGTTGGCTTCATTTTAAATATATTGAATTGTCGATGAGAGTGAATCTAATTTAAAGTCGTGAGCGCCTCAAAAAGTTTTTTAGACTTTTTTCGCAACTAGACACAAAGACCCCATATATATTAACGGTTGCAGGTGTATAGGTTTGTCTACATCATTGATTGTATAGGAGCAATATGTATTCATTGATTAACTAGTTAAGTCTATACATTGAGATTAGTGGGGTGAACCAAGCGTGAAAATATTATGAATAGTTTTTGAACTTTTGTGAATTTTGTAAACTTTTTGACTGAAATAGACAAAAATAGATAAATAGAGTAACATTAAACATTTGTAAGAAAAATTGTAAACCATACTATTTAGATTGTTAGAAATATGGAGATGTTTATAAAATTTGCATCTAAAATCAGTAAATGTCCTTTATGCTACTTTTGTAAGTAATTTTGTAATTCAGAGTATAAATCATCATAGTTTAAGTTCTTGCCAATAAACACTAGTTTATTTTGTGTGATTCCATCGACTAGTCTTCCTCCTTCAATGATATCATAGGTCTCTCTAACACCCTGTATCACTCTTACATCAAAATCTTCATTTCCGCTTCTGTTGACCAATATTCCTTTAATTCTATGGATTTCGATAGGGTTGTGATTAGCAGTGTTTTCCCAGAGAACATATTGAATAAACGACTCAATCTTGTTGAATTCATTGTTCTCAAAAAAGGGAAAGGTTATAGTTACAGTGGCAATTCTGTCGTCATGATAGGTTGAGTTATTCATATAATTTATCGATTGTGTTAATTTTTCTGTGTTTGCCTCAAATGCATGTAAATCCAAGATCTTATCTACATCTATATCACCAAAACTTGTCGTGTGAATAGGTGTGCTGGAGTTTATTCCTTTAATCTTATCTACAATAGCTTGAATCTTTTCATCATAAGATTCATCTTGCAATGTGTCCACCTTGTTTATTAAGATTGTATCAGCTAAGGCAATCTGTAAATGGGCAGTCGTTAAACCTTCCTCTAACTTTTTCCTCTCATCTTCGATCTCCTCCTCCGTGAGATCATCGGCATTGACACTTTGACTAACTTTCAAATGCTTATTCTCTCTATGCCAATGCCCACCAACATCGTCCAAACACTTAAGGATGTTTTGTGCGTCCAAGACAGTAACGACTCCATCTATATAGACGTTGGATGATAATCCTTCATCTATCCAAAACATCTTGGCTATTGGTGCTGGATCAGCAACACCTGTAGTTTCTAACAAAATATAATCAATTTTACCTCTAGAATTTTCAATTAACTGCTCTATTGCAAGAACACCATTATCTTTTACCGTGCAGCAAAGGCATCCATTACCCAAATCGAGCCATTCTTGCACTGATTCATTTTTTTCGGCATCCTTTACTGTGATGGCCTTCTCAATTGCTGATGAGTCCCCAAACTCATTCAAAATTATAGCCAATCTCTTTTTTGAACTTTTACCAATCATTTCTAATAGAGTAGATTTTCCAGATCCTAGATACCCAGTAATAATTGTAATCGGGATCTTTTTCTTCTCATCAGTGATTTCAAGTTCCTCTATTTGTCTTGCAGGAGGTGAAGGGATTTTGCCAACCTCTTCTAGTTTATTATTACTAGATCCTCCAGAAATTTCCTTGAAATCTTCAGGCAATTCTTCAACCAAATCAGGTATATCATCCATTTTTCATAAATAGATTTTAATATATGGCTACAAATTATATCTATGGCGAAAAGATTCCCTTTCAAATGGTCGCAGTACGGCTCAAAACGCTTGAAATTTAATATTTTGATAAATTATTCATAGAGACTGTTTTGCTTTACATATAAAGGCAATCGATTATGTATAAATATAACAAATTGCTAGATATAATCCTTTTGGGGATAATTGTATATCATCTGTTAATATCACCTTATACCAAGGTGGAAGAATCATTTAATATTCAAGCAATTCATGATATAATTAACTATGGGGTATTTCCACAGGAGAATGTCTCATATAACTACGACCATAACAATTTTCCTGGTTCAGTACCTCGGACTTTCGTTGGAAGTTTAGTGATAGCAGGATTTGTCAAGGTTATTCAATCATTCACTTCATTGGTCGGTATTAATAAACTAATTTCGAAGGATCAAAGCCAACTTGATGTTCAAATACTTGTGAGATGTGTATTAGGGTTTGCTAACGGGTTTGCATTTATGAAAATACGTGATAGTATCAATCAAATAGCATTGCGTGACAGGATTTCAAAAAGTAGGGGTCTGATTGGATTTTGGTTCATGATACTACTCATTTCACAATTTCACATATTGTACTATTCGTCTCGTACCTTACCCAACTTTATTGCATTGCCGTTGGTATCCTACGCTATAAGTAAGATTATCGTTGGCGATATGTCTGGTTTGACGTGGATGTCTTTTACAGGTATCGTTTTCCGTTTAGAAATTGGATTATTTGGGGTCATTATTGCGCTAGTCTCGCCCATTATTTTCGGCCAGAGTGATCTATTTCTTAATTTCGTTATGTTATTTGTGGGTACGCTTGTTGGACTTATAACTACGTTCACTATCGATTCATACTTTTGGGGTTATTGGCTTATTCCTGAATTAGTATCCTTCAAATTCAATATTATTTCTGGTAAATCAGCCGAATGGGGTACAGAGCCGTGGGCAGCTTATTTTAATAAGTACATTTGGCAGATATTTAGACCACCAATTATTTTAATCCTTGCATTACCAGGTTTGATGAATGATCCAGCGGATGATAAAATTTCTACTGCTTCGATCAGTAAAGTACCTAATAAGAAAAAAATTGAAGTGACACATCCTGCTAAAAATTCTTTACGTATTTTATCCGTTTCTTCCTTACTTTTTATTATTGCCATGTCATTCCAACCACATAAAGAATGGAGGTTTATAATTTACGTCATACCCATTTTGACATTATTGGCTGCTAATGGATTTTCTAATATATCTATTAAGTGGTCCACCTCAATTTTCAATAAGCTTTTAATATTGATCTGCATGGCATTTATGCTAATTGGCATTTTATTATCAGCTATCATGGGGTATGTCTCTAGCTTCAATTATCCAGGAGGAGATGCATTATTATTTGTTAATAGGTATATGAACGAAAGTAAAGGTCAAAATTTTTTCGTTCATATGGATGTTGCATCTTGCATGTCTGGTATCAACAGGTTTGGAGAAATTCATAATAATTCGGCTATAAAATACGATAAGACTGAAGATGAATTTGATTTGTTGACTGTCTGGAATGACATTGATATTTTAATTACAGAAGTTAACCTAAATGAAATGGACACGGTACATGCAAGTTCAAAACTCACCTACAATTCTAATAACTGGAAGACTATATACGTCTCTGATACATTTAAAGGTATTTCAATAATTCCAATAATCCAGTTGGTAAAAGAACAGAGAGCAAATTCTTACACAATCCCAGCTTTGCTTACTCAAATTGTCGATGAACTCATTCATATCAAGTTTTGTACTTTGAGGAATCTTATACATTCTATGGTAATTACTACTGATTATTTATATGTCTACGAAAGGGTGTCTCCTGACGAAGGGTTAGACGAATTGATCGAGGAGTTGAAAGTTCAAATCCCTTATAGGTCGATGGAAAATGACAATTTTGATCTTAAAGAAGTTGATTTAAATGATCTAGGAGAAAATATAAATGACGAAATCAATATGTTGGAAAAAGAATTTACGGCTTGAATATTTAGAAATAATATTTATATTGTCCTGTACATTTGTTGATAACTTATACATACATACTATTTATTAGACTTTCAAACCCTACCTGTATCCTTAGTTGGTGAAATTTCAATTAAATTGTTCTTTAATTTTTCTTTCAACTTCTTCACTGGAGAAAATCTTGGTTCATCAATGTCATCATCAATTGGAACAAAAATGGGGGTTATGCGCCGCATTCTTTTGGCTGTTTCAATTATAGACTTTTCATTATCGTTAGTAATAGCACTCAGAATTTTTGACAGACTAGATTTATCTTGATTAGGCGAAAGCTGATCAAGCAATGGCACTTCTGCTATACTAAAATTGGGAGGCTTTGGTGGTAAAATAGGCTTATAGGTATTATATTTAGGAGGTGAAAGTCGTATAAATCTTGAATTGTTGCGGTTAATCAATGATGGAGTATTGTGGCTTGAAATCTTGTGCTCTTTCCTTGGCGTGGATGTAGCTTTAGCTTTACCAAAATGTTTTCGCAATGCATCTATCCGTTCATGTTTAAGTCTTAACGTTGTCTCTTGCAATTTTGTAGGACTGCCTCCAACCGTGCCATTAGAATAATGAGGCGTTAAAGGGACACCATCAGTCCGCGGTTTTAATGGAGTATACAAGTAGCTGGTATTCAAATCATCATTATTGTTAGCATTAGTGGTATTTCTCGTTAATGACTTTTTTGCTAACGGTGACTGATTATTGATCAAACTGCTTTCTTTATCGACGAGAGAGCTATTGCTCATTTGGTTCTCGTTTTGCCGTTCTCTCAATTTATATATCCACAATTCTAAGATAGATCTTGACTTTACATTTTGCCATCTTTTCACAAATAATACACAACTTTGATGATGTCTTTCAACATTCTTGATGTATTTCATCGACCAATGACTTAAAGTTTCTCTAAACTTGCGGATTTCTTTTTGGCTTATAAATTCATCACTTAATTCATTTAAATATCGATTGACATGAAGGAATTGGTCGTACCATATAACCAAAAACTTTTTGCTTAGAAGCCTTGTTTCAAACTCTTCCGCACGAAGAGTTAAATTTAACTTTCCTTGTGTAGCTGATCCCCATTTGTTAAAAAATACCCTCTTTAAGGAGGATGTTCTAACGAATCTATCGCACTCAGCATCCAAATATGAAGCTATTGTTTCTCTCTCATTGTATTTGTTGACCCATAAAAATAAGTATTTAGAAATACGGTTTGGACTTATAACAGTGTTGTTGAAAAACTTGATCTTAGAGTTTGCAGATATTTGAAACCTAGAATCATAGCGACGTTGCCAAGTACGTATTGCAACTAAACAAGTTAAACGATCATTAAAATTAGGTCTGTTTTTACCTGAAATATCATCACGACCGAATTCTCCGATAATGGACGCAAAATCTTTTGTATATAAATGATGCTTCCCAATTATTTTATTTAAGTATTTTCTTTGGAAGTTTAAATCTGATACGGTATTCATCAGCTCATTTTTTCTGTACTTGAAGATCCATTTAATTAAAATTCTGTAATTGGTGTTATATATGTCACATTGAATAGCTTGAGATACATTGTCATTATTTACCTTGAACTTATTGCTAATTGTTTTAAAAGCTTCTAGTTTTAGTTTCAGTTCTGACTTATATTGAAGGTATTTCTGTTGATAAGATAACAACCACTTATTAAAATAATACCTTAACTTGCTAGAATTTGGAGTTTCCTTTAAAGACCTTCGATCATGGCTGTTAAAACTGAACGAGGTCATTGTAGATTCTAATTTCCATTTTCTCAAACTCTTCTTCAACATGCTACTTCTATTAAACTTATCAGCAATGTTATTAAGATTTTTGTATTCTTTCCAATGAAGAAATGCATTGGATTTTATCATGATGTGTTTTTCTTGAATAATATATTTGGCTTTAGTTTGCAATTTTGTCTTCTTCAACCATTGCTCAGAGAAAAAGAATTCAAGAAATATCTTATTGTTTTTTATTCGAGTCTGATTATAGATGTGTTGCATGTTTTTTGCATGCTTTAAAATTTTGAAATACTTCGAGAATATAACATATTTTTCGACATTTCCCAATCTACGCAACTTTTCACTTAAGGTTGAAGGAGGAGCTAAACTAGTTGCAACATTTAACTGAGTAATTGTTGGCAGTTCATACTCTTGATTCCTGTTAATGAAATTGGGTTCAATCTTTAAATTCATTTTAGAATACCATGTATTTATAATCAATCTTTTCAAACTTGAATTATCTTTATGAATTAACATCTCATAATTATCAAGGGCTATCAGGTATAAATCTTCATTTCTTTGAAATTTAGTATAAATATATTTAAAATAGACCTTCAAAAGGTGTATTTTATTGAAGTTCATTGCCTTAATTTGCAATGTTTGGGTATAATTCAACTTGCGATACCACAAGTTAAACATCTTTGCTTCATATCGACAGCTTCCTTTGTTATTGAGTTCTTTGTATTTTATTGAGCGTGATAGCCAAACATCTCTGAAGGTCTTACACAAAATATCTTTTTCATAAAAGTTCGTTGTCGCTGATTCCAATTTGTCAAGCTTAAGCTTTTTGCTAAACCACCTTTTTAAAATTTTCTTCTTTAGATAATTATTATTCTTCGGCAGCCACTCATAACTTAAATTATATTCGAGCTGGCTAATCGCGAGAGTCTTATAGTTCCATCTATGAAAGATGTCATATCTTAGTTTGAAATTCGAGTAATATTCACATATTGATAATTTCATCAACATGGTACGAGGAGGTTCTTCATCCGATATTACTTCCTTGTTCAAATAGGTATGCAATTGATAGAATTGAAGTACAGTATCTCTTATGTTATATTCTTCCAGGGTAACATCTTCATTCTCGTAATCAGTAATAGTATCAACCAAAGCAACAATACTTTCGACAAAATGCACATCTTCCTGATTACTTATTTCCGGGAATTCTTGATAAAGCAAATGCAAGTAGTATTTCAAAATGGATGGAAAATTAATATTAAAATCAAAATTGAACTCATTTAATAGGGGAATAATATGCCTTAAATTATTTATTAAAATCAACTGATCTTCCTTCGTATATGAGTGATCGGTAGACTTAAGTTGTGTATGAATTTGATCTGCTTTCTCGATTTTACTCCCAACCACACCAGTAAAGAAATCGGGGTCCAGATCTTTCAGTCTGTCATAACTCAAATGAATTTCATCATTTGCTGGCTGATTTAAGTAATTACTCATTCCCCCACTTACCTCATTATGCAATTTAAATTTATTTTCGTAATACAGTTCTGGAAACATCACTATTTTCATTATTACTCGTTTGTTGATTTCTTCAAATTTAGTAGGTAATATTGGCCCTTGACTAGACTGATCACTTAAAAAAAAATTGTAGAAAGTATTGAATTTCATTTCTTTGTATTCGAAATCGTTGATCTCTATTGTATCTATGTTGGTTGATTTTTTATACAAGTTAATCATTATTCTTATATATTTAGAATAATCATTAAATGAATATTTCGATTTCCCTTGAAATCTCTTAAAAGATGATACTTGAAGGAACAACTGGTACAAATTGGAAAAGTTTTGATCATTACATTTGAAATTCAATGGTGATTCAGCTATACCTACAGCAGAAGCAAATTTGTTTGATTCGTAACTAAAGATGGACGTATCTGTCAATTCTTTATTTTCGTCTTGTTCTTTCTCTTCGTAGTTCTTATTTCCAATAAAGTCATCTAACAAGGAAACCATTTTTTCTGTATCGTGGTCATCTAAACTCAATCCAGAATCTAATTTATCCTGCAAATTAGAATAAAGATTTAATTCATAGTTAAAGCATTGATTAATATAATAAACCAACCTCTCCTCCGATTTAGAATGAAGTCTAATAAAGAAATCCAATAGTTCAGAAAATCGTACCAATATTGTGGAGAAGGATTCTTTTATTCTTTTTGGCTTCTTCTCATCTGAAATGGAATCATTAACCGAAAGGATTTCAATCAATTGCTTGAGAACAAAAGATCTTGTAGATTTGTTATATATTCCTTGATTCTGGTACGACTGGATAACAGAGAAAATATTCAAATTTGTTATTCGCTCTGAGTCGTGAGGTGAGGACTTATTAAGATAGTATAACAATGATAACGACCCTATGTCAGGACAGCTTGGTGAAACATTCAAATTTAATTCGTAATAAAGTTTATCATGATAATTTAGTAATTGAAGTATCCTCTGTATTGTTTCTTCAAGAAGAGTTTCGTACTCCGAAGCAGAATGTGCTATTGGGTATAAATGAAGTGTATGTAAGTCCTTAATTGTCTTTTGTAGAAGCTCATTTAAAGAAGTATTAGACATGCTATATTTTCTAGTTCATTTCTAGGTTAAAGTATAACTCCAATATTTAAACGAGTTTTCCATATAAATTGTTATGTATAGCTTGTTTTGTAAACAGTGATCTAATAAATATTTTTATCTCGGTTACAAAAAATGATTGAGCTAAATTATAAGATACGATAATAAAATCCTATGCATTTCTAATAGGTTGCACATAATAGTAAGAGCCTAGTGAAATTTAATAAGTCAAGGCCTTAATTGAAATTCAACTTACAGGATTCAGACTTTATTCTTTTGAAAGTTCTTCTTTTGTACTTGCACATATATTACTATTAAGTTGCATCCCTATACCGGTTTCATACCTGAAACTATTTCCAATCATTGGAGTAGTAAACATACCCATAGGCAAAGATCGGCTAGTCATGAATTGAATAGAGAAGGAAAAACTATATATGACGATTCTGAGTCAATTGCCAATATGGGTATGCCACCATCAACCCAAAATAGAATAGCTTCTGATGGTGTAATTTATTCGAACCAACATATTTCGGGATATATGATGCACCCAAACCTTAATAATAATTCCAACCAACATAATGATAATTTGGATAACCATTTTGATGAACGAAAACTGAATCTACCCTACCCACCGAACGATAGTTTTGGGACATTTTTACAAGATGAGACATCTACTCCCAATAAACAGAACTTAAAGATGGCTACAAATAATTCATCTTCTCCAATACAATCAAGTCATCATGATCCTAAGAGTTTCAGCTTTTCTGAACAAAATGACTCGATTCAAGAGTTCCAAGTTTCCCCTATCAAGGAAAATGCTCCACGTCCATCGCGTTATGCATTTGACGGATTTCCTAGAGACGATGTGAGCCACGAAAAACGTCACTCTAACCGTTCATGGTCTCCACCTCCAAATTCATCTGGAAGTGACAATTCAAATGCTATTGGACTGATTATAGGTGGGTATGATTATAGCAAAAGTTCGTTAGACCTAGTTTTAAAAGACAATGAGGATAATTTTCATAATGATAGAAAATCAAATACATTATTACAAAAAGAAGATACCAATGATTCTGGGGGGCAATTTTATTTAAGCAATAATACAATTCAGGCTAACGAAGCTGGTATGGATGTTAAAGCCCATAATAGAAATAGTTCAGAATCATCAACTGTTTCAAATACATCTACCACATCTACGATAACACCATCCACTATTAGCAAAGGCAAGAGATTTGTTCGATACGCTATGAATACCCAATCAAAATCGTCCATGACTAATACATCTACCAAATGGCACATTCTGAATGTACTTAAATGGCTTGAATATCACGGTTTTAATAGCTCTTGGCAGGAGACCTTTCGAAGAAATGAAATATCCGGTAACAGGTTTCTAGAGTTATGTAATTATGAGGTGGACTCGATGATTTGGAAGCAATTCAGTAAGTTCTTGGTCTTGGATAACGAAAATAATTCAATTGAAAGATTTATTGAATTGCTAAAAGGACATCTTTCGACATCCGAACCAGTGGACGATTACAATGCCAATAAAGAGTACCAAATGCAATCGCATTCAAGAAAAAGCTCGAATGAATCACATTTGTCTCCTGTTCTTCCTAATAATTTAGCAGAAAATCGTAAATCAGTGCCCATATTCCATAAAAGAAAATCTGTATCAATACCTGCAGTATACGGTACTTCATCACAGTCTAATAATTTAGCGCCATCTTCCAACCAGAGACCAGTATCCTATGTGGACTTGAGCTCCCATAAACCAAATAAAGATTTGCAATCCCATCACAAATTCTTTCGAAAATCCAAATCATCATATTCTGAAGCTCCTCCATCCTACGCCGGTACTAACAATTTACCCATATTACCTTCCAATTATCAAAATATAAACGGTCATAGAAAGTCGAACTCAAAGACTTCTTTATCATTAAATGATGACCTCATCGTTGACTCGAATAGAATTAAATATACAGGGGCACCCCTACTCAAAACATCGAGTTTGCAAAATTTTCCAACTCCAAGTGTTGATGCTAATCAACCAACCTCATATGGTAAAAAGTCTGGCCTTCTTAGTACTTTAAAAAAATATGGTAGTGACAAAGCAGTGGGAATTGTAAAACAAGTGCATAATACTTCTTCCTCTGCTGTTACAAAAACCGGCGGAATAAGTAAAAACAGTAATAAAAACGTTGTATCTCCTGTTAGTCCTCTTGAATTTCGAGATCTTCTGTTACCCAAGAAGAAGCAAAACATTTCCCAACCAAACATTCAAGAAGGAGTTGAAAGCACTACTATGGATACCTCGAATGCTAAGTCTCAAAGATATTCGAACTCAACAGGCATGTCTAGTGATGACACATTACCTTCGCCTATAACAAATTCATCAGCTAAGGTGATCAATTTCAATAATAATACTTATCTAGATTCGATAAAAAAAGCAGATTTATTTGGTGACCTTGACGAAAAGTATTTACCAACAATAGATGATAAGTTTATTGACCGTAAAGTTATATTGGCTAGCAAAGATAATATGCATTTCATGCCTATAAATTTGACAAGTGAAGAAACGAAGAATATAGAATTACTCAAAAAAAGAATAATTCATGAATTAGAAATAATTGATATTGGAATTATATCGTTTCATTTAACTGAATTTAATTCTACTGAGGGTGTTGCTCTTAGGGATGATGTTTTGCTGAATGTTATGCGTACAGATATACTTGTGAAACTCTTTGTAAATCAAGAAATATCTTCAGATACTACAGCAACAATCTCAACTACGTCCTCTGATTCTAAGTCTTTTGAACTAATTGGTGAGAATAATGATGAAAGAAGCTATCCAAGCACGCCACAATATCTTTTGCAAAATACTAAAGACCCTAAAGTCGATTATTGGAACTTCAAGGATGCAAACAATGACAAGCTTTCCAGTATTAACGAGATAAGTTCTGTTAGAGATGCAAGAAAACCATCTTCAAATCCCCAATTTACTATGAAATTACATTTACCTGAAAATAAGAAAATTTCACAAGATATTAAACCACCATCATTACTGATAAATACGACTCAAATTAAAAGTAACCTGCCATCTTTATCTCCAAACTCGTCGAATTTAAGTGACAAGCAGAACTCATTTAAAGTTCTAAGAAAAGAAGGTCACGAAATAGACTTCGATAAAAGAAGAAAATCCCCATATGAATCGAAAGCTCCTAAATTGATACCAAATATTTATTCCTCATCGGTATCAAATCCATCCAAATCTCCAATTTCGGCAAGTACAATAGCAACACTAAGGGATGAAAATATAGATAGTAATCAAAATAATTTATCTTCAAGCATTTCATCTGGTTCGATTGATAGGGATAAGTCTGGTAGTATTGTGGCCAAGAGAAATGCTCCTCCTCCGCCACTCGACAGAAAGCTGAGCGTAAAAGGGTCACATTCGTTAAAGAAAGCATCGATCCTGCCTTCGATTTCAACACTATCAAAAACACTGTCTTATTCTAGTCGCTCGACTAGTGGCAGTGAAAGGTCAATGAGTTCAAGGAAAGCATTCAATAAAAGGAAAGGATCTACTTCAAGAAAAAATTCTATCATCGTAGATGATTCATTTGCATTCAAAGAAAATGATGTATCATTTGATGATGTTCCCACGGTGCAAAGAGATGGGGATGCTTCATCTGATGATGAAGATTTTTTTGTTAAACCAATTAAGAACCAAAAAAGTAATGCCAATGATGAGGATAACGAAAGTGATGAAGATTTTTTCATGAGGCCTATAAGATCTCCTGATTCTAAAGGGCAAAATAATATTCCTAAAGGTCGTACTTTAACTGATCCTACGTCAATAAAAATGAATGTAAGACCTCCTGTAGAAGAAGTCTATAGGAATCTTGAAAAGTATTTCCCTAACACTAACTTGGATAAACCAATCATAGATGATTCGCCTGTTTCTCCAGTGAATAAACATTTGCCATCGATTGAAGCATCAAATGCCATTCCTGTGAGGAAACCAACAATTTCAAGAACTTTCTCTAATGCTAATATGTCACCAATCCATCCCAAATTAGATTCTGGGGATGAAATTTTATATGCTGAAAATCAAGAACCTACGTTGAGTCGTCGCCATATGAAAACTATTCGTGTTGTCGCAAATGAAGCTCGTAAAAAGAGGTTGGAAAGGCAAAACTCACCTCAAGCTGGTAGATCTTTGGAATCGTCATATCGCACTACTCATTCAGGTAATTTCAACTCATTAAATAGGACAAATACTAAATTATGGGGTCAGAAGGTTGTTGAAGTCACGTCTACTGAAATTGAAAAAGGATTTGTGAGCAAATTAAAAAGTGGAAAGCATGGTGAATTTGAAGAGTTTGCCTGGATTAAGGGTGAATTGATTGGTAGAGGGTCATTTGGTGCGGTATACTTAGCTTTAAACGTTACAACTGGTGAAATGTTGGCAGTCAAACAAGTAATTGTTCCCAATGATTTTCTGAACGGTTGCCCAAAAGTCTCTGAAGGAATTGATGCTTTACATAAAGAGGTTGAAACTATGAAAGACTTAGATCATCTTAATATTGTGCAATATTTGGGCTTTGAACAGAAGGATAATATTTATAGCTTATTCTTAGAGTATGTTGCTGGTGGATCAATCTCATCATGCATGAAATCTTTTGGGAAATTTGAAGAACCATTAATTAAGTTTATAACGAAGCAAGTTTTATTAGGTCTAGAATACTTGCATTCGAACGGTATATTACATCGTGACTTAAAAGCTGATAATTTGCTATTAGAGATCGACGGAACGTGTAAAATATCTGACTTTGGTATATCTAAGAAGTCTAAGGATATATATGTAAACAATGCTGAGATGTCAATGCAAGGTACGGTTTTCTGGATGGCACCAGAAGTTATTGATAGTATTGTTGCCGACAAAAAGCAAGGGTATAGTGCTAAAGTAGATATTTGGTCATTAGGATGTGTTGTACTAGAAATGTTTGCAGGTAAAAGACCATGGTCAAATGAAGCAGTGGTAAGTGCAATTTATAAAATTGGTAAAACTAAATTGGCTCCGCCAATACCTGATGACATTACCCATTTGATTTCTGATGAGGCACGGTCATTTATTAGAAGATGTTTCACGATTGACCCAGAAGAAAGGCCAACAGCCAGAGATCTCTTAGGGGATCCATTTATTAGTAACGAATCTAATTTCTCTTTTGAAACTACGAAATTAGCTCAGATGATCAAATACAATTACAAGAAATACAATATTTAATGTTACGACAAGAAACGTATCTGACAATTTACATTTAACCTATTATATGAGATCTACTATATACATGCAAAGCAAGACTTAGGGTTTGCTGGGTTTATAATTTCTGAATACAATTTCTTTTATTATTTCAACTTCAATTCGTTAATCATCAAAATGGTTTGGTAATTTTGAACTGGAAATGTTTTTAATCTTCTGCATCTCTGTTTCTTTCTGTAGACTTCGTAATATGGTTCTCTTGTGATTTCAACGACATTTGCTTTCAAGTCAAATAATTCCTTTGGTATTCCACGATCATCATTATATGTGAATTCTGGAGATCCTAATGTAACAACGTCTTTCAATATTAACAGGTCCCCTACTTCTGCTTCTTTTAATTTAAATGGCAACACTATCTTGTCTCCCTTGGTGACCAAATATGGGATATTATGAAGTTTAAAAATTGCGTATAAGTTATCAGATCCGATTGAATCCAATTTCAATGGTGTTAAGTCAGGTATTTGCTTGTTAATTGGAGTGGTTTGCGATGTTCCAGACAAAGTACGAATAAACAAATTTGGGGTGCTAGAAACTATACCCCTACTTCTCAACGTAGGAACTGTTAAACGAAACATTTTTATTGTATTTATTGTTTCCAAGTCAAACTATGTAAGTTTCAACTACTTGTAGATGTTGAAAAATTTCTAACGGAAAAAAAATTAAACAAATGTTACACAAAACATCTACAATTTTGTGTAATTGCGAGCATAAATTTTTTTTGGTGTAATACCAACATTCAGTGATAAAATCAATATATAATCAAATATTAAGGATCAAATAAGACAATAACTAGCCCAATAGAGCCCTTAATCATCTACTAACTATCATTTAAATAAACTATTTTTTCAAGATTTGATAATGTCGGGCTCTTTTTGGAAATTTAGTAATGGACTTTCTTCATTGTCAAACATATCGACACTTTTAGAAAACCATTCAAATGACCAAGCATCAAACAATTCTTCAAATTCGAAAACATATGATTTGTTGATGAAATTGCTAGAAGAAAATGACTTGTTGCAAGAATTGTTGTCCAATAACTCTATGTTATTAGAATTCTTGAGGGAGGAAGAAGTGTTGAGCTTATTAGTTGATTTAGTTATTGAAGAAGGAAACATTGATGATTCATTAAGCACAGATGTGAGTAAATTGAAGTTGGATAGTAAAGGATATGAGTCAGAAATTGAAAAAGTTGATGACAAGGATATATCTGAAAGAAATAAGAAAAATGACAAGAAAGACAATTTAGGCAAGAAGGCGCACGATGCTGAAGATGAAAAGCATGTTGAAGATGAAAATCAAGATGATGAAAAGGATGATGAAGAAGATGATGAGGAAGACGATGAAGAAGACGAAGAAAACGAAGATGATGATGATGATGAGGAAAATGCAGAAACTGATAACGAGACTGCTGAAGACAGGGCTGTTCGTCATGCCACTTTAGCAGCGGAAATTTTGAGTGCTGATGTGTGGTCATTGACTGACACAGTCATGGAGTCTACTGAAAACTTAAATAAGTTATGGTCTGTGTTAGATTCAAAGAAACCACTCTCGATCAATTTATCGACTTACTTTATGAAAATTATGGAGCATTTATTAGACATGAAATGTGACGAGATGATTGCATATCTTATAGATAACCAACCTAATTTGGTAAAGAAGTTTATAAATCATTTATCAAACCCGCCATTAATGGACTTCCTTCTTAAGTTGATATCAACCGATAAACCAGATAACTCAACCGGGATTATTGATTTTTTGCAGAATCAAGATTTTATCACTCATTTAATCAATTCTCTCGATATAACTGGTGATGATAATGCATCAGAAAATTATGACATTTTGTTAGTCAAACAGTCATCTGCAGCAGATTTTTTAAAGGCGTTGATTACCATTTCAGCTAATTCAACGACAGATAACTCGACTATTGGTCCTAATGAGTTGACGAGAGAGTTGGTTTCATATGATCAAATGGACCGTTTGTGTAAAATAATGTTAAAAGGCGGATATGCCTTAGCTAATGGTGTCGGTATTATTATAGAAATAATCAGAAAAAACAATTCGGACTATGACATTTTACCTGTTTTATATATCACTCTAGAAAGTCACCCTCCCACTGGTAGGGATCCTATCTATTTAGGTCACTTACTCAAGATATTTGGTAATAAAATTGAGGATTTCAATAAGCTATTGATGGATGAAAACAGCAGCACGAATTCCATCTTAAAAACTCCGTTTGGTGAAATAAAACCACTAGGATTTGAAAGGTTTAAAATTTGCGAATTGATTGCTGAATTATTACACTGTTCAAATATGGCATTATTAAATGATAATAAAGGTTTTGACGTCGTTAAGGAGAGAGACATATTGAGAAATAAAATGAAAGAGTTCGATCCTGTTAGTTTCAAGTACAATGAAGTCATTGTTTTACCTAACAATGAAGGCGGGAATGACAAAACTGATAGCGAGAATGATAATGACGGGAAAAACTCCCGCCATAACGAAGATGATGATTTCGCTAATGACACAATAGACTCATTTAACTCTAAACTTAATCATGAGAATGACACGATGATTCAATATCAAAACCCAGATCAAGACGATGAAGAAGAGCCTCATGCAAATGCAAATTTATCAGAAGAGCAAATAAGAGCAAACCCTGTTATAGGTGACTTCTTAAAAATATCCTTATATGATACTCAAATCATTTCCAATATTTTATTAATGTTTTTTCAATTTCCATGGAACAACTTTTTACATAATGTTGTTTTCGACATAGTTCAGCAAGTATTGAATGGATCGATGGATATTGGATTTAATAAATTTCTTGCTATTGACTTATTTCATTATGGTGATATCACAAACAAAATTATTGAAGGTCAAAAACTTTGCACTGACTTTGAAGACAACCATAATGGATTAAGACTTGGTTTCATGGGGCACTTAACTTTAATCGCTGAAGAGGTAGTAAAATTCATTCAATTATATCCTACACATACCTTGAGTGAATTAATTGACTCCAAGGTGGAAGATGAAATATGGGAAGAGTATGTTAGTCATGTATTATATGATACAAGGGAGAAGTATAACGCAATTTTAGGTGGCGGTGAGGACGATGAAGAGGATGATGATGCATCTAATACTTTTGATGAGGGTACCGGTGAAATAATTGAGCAAAATGATTTCAAGCCAGGATTACTTCTTGATCCCAAAACTGACCATGATATAATTGGAAGCGGTTTTGAGGAAGGTAGTAAAGATGATGGTCATTATGAAGAGAACAAGTATCATGAAAACGCTGACACAATAAAATCAAACTCGAGTGATGAATCATCCGAAGATGACGATGACCACTTCACAAACTACATGTCCCAACAACTTACAAATACAGCTTCTACTGAAATACTGTCTTCTGTCAAATCTCCTAACGACGAAGAGTTTTCTGAAAAGAATGATTCGTTCAAGAGAATTCCAGGTGATATAAATATACATACCGAGAATGATGAGATGGACACGGATGAATATATTGACCCCAATGATGATGGTTTGTCTTATAAAAAATCACATCCTTTATATGATGCCAAGGGGTCATTACTCAGTGCTTCCAGTCGTGAAGATGATGAAATATCTAGTGAAGATTCTAGTTCCAGCTCTTCCGATAGCGATGATGAAATAATTCTTGATGATGATAATGAAAGTAAAATTAATGAAAAGGGGTCTAATGGTAATAAATTATCTAGATCTGCAAGTAGAAGTTGATTGGTTAATTTTTTTTTTTCATTGATTTATTTATCTTTAATTTTGGCTTGACTTATGGTTTAATGAATTTATATTAACTTATGTTTGCTAATATATATTATTATGGCATATATATATATTACTATGACATTGCATGAATTTTATGCACGGTAGTAAAATTTGCATCTGTCTTTTTCTTTATATATTTGATATAAATAAATTTTATTATTATATTGTTTAAACTATCGCTGACTCTGAGTTTGCCTTACGTCCCTCTCTTTCTAAAGGAGGCAACTCGGCAATTGATGAATCTACTTCGTTTTCTAATGATGTTTCTGATTCATTATGACTCTTAGTTGGAACGCCGCCCATTAAACCCTTACTCATAGCCAACCCTGATGATCTCTCTATCATACCACCATCATAAAATTCGTCTTCAATTGGATGCATAAGGACTGTATTGTTCTTGGTTATAGTTATAGTGGAATTTGTTGGTACACAAATCCAATCACCTCTCTCAAAGGTCAAAGGTTCACTTGCTACAAAAATAACATCTTGAGATCTATTCAATCTTTCCATTTTAAATAATCCGGGTTCATATTCAAAAAATTTAGACCCAGTACTGAAATGAAGTGATGCAGCTTCGTCTGTTTTAGATGTAATATAACGACTTACCACGATCAGCTCTCCATCTGTAACCGCAAAATTCATCAATGATGGTTCGTTAGTAATCTGGGTTTGCCAATTTTTGATAAGCTCAATCGTTGTAAGTAATGCTTGTCGCAAGATTGTATGGGTGAAAGCTGTCATTTTGTCAGAAGGATTATAGCCCATCTTTAACAAAGTATCCAAAAAGAGTGCAAAACAGCATTCGGAATCTGTCGATCCTTGGATATAGAGGAAAAATTGATCATCCAAGTGATTAATTAGCTTTTTCTTTATTGAATCAAATGACAGAATACCTCCGTTATGCATAAACATGATCTTCCCAAAGGAAAATGGATGGCAGTTAGTCTCTGCCAAGACACCTTGCGTCGAAGCTCTGACATGTCCAAATACCAAATGCGACTCAGTACACATAGATAAGTTGTTCAAATTCACATTATTCCACGCTGGAGTTATTGCCTTAAATATACACGGCTGATTCTTCAGTGAATAGTATCCAACACCAAAGCCATCTCCATTTATCGGGTTCCGCATATCAATTCTTAATCTAGAATCAAAGGACTGATTGATGATGGAATGTGCTGGTTTTGTTAATAAGTCGGATAGTACCATGGGCTCACGGCCCTTATATATCATAAAACGACACATATCTCTCAAGAACAGCCTTAAACACACCTAGTAATCATAAATTGGTAGCTTCAATGTAGCGAAAATGTCGTCCAATTTTGATATCATGAATGACTTAAATACGACATTAGAGTCACCCCGGAAGCTGCAGGAAGATGATTCCGTAGTATATAAAGCCATATTTACTTGCCTTTATCTGGAAATACTTAAGGAGAAATTAACAATTAGCATAATATGTCACTCTTCAAAAGTTTACAAAACTCTCCTGCAACCATCAGTATATTTCATAATAATAAAGTATCACTTTCCAACGAATTGTATCGGGTTTTGGATAAAGCATACTATAAATTGAATGAAGATAAGAATAATTTTCAAGTAGATCTTATGGCTAATAAAATGCCAACATATGATCAATTACTCTTGATAGCCAATACCTGTTTAAAGGACAAAGCTAGCAAGCAGGCGTTGCAGAATTGCTATCCATTCATGTACGGTAAGAAGTCTGGTGAAATCAATAATCGAATTACTGTTGAGTCACCAATCCGCCCAGATAACAGTGGCTCAAATGGATTAAACATATTCAGCGAGGGAGAATATGCTATGATCTACGAAGCGTTCAACAAATTGGTTGAAACGAAGGAACCGGATGTTAATCCGTCTGATATATTCCAAGCACCATTAATTGTGGACTGGGATCAATGCTTGATTGCAGCTGACAAAGAAGGTTTATCTAGTATTTTAAATAAATACAGGGACTAGTAATAGTCGCCAAATCATGTCCCTTATGTCATCCTTGTATATATACATATATGTTTATTCTTATAAAACGGTATTTAAATTTCACATGGAGCCTTTCAATTGTTAGAGACTCGCGCAGCTCTTCAATTGCGATTGGCCTTTTTAGCAACAGTTTTCACTATTTATCTATTGAATTGAATATTATGTCTACGTCCTTGATTGTGAATAAATACCTAGCACTTTACAATATAATTGCTGCACTGCTCTGGTTTGTCATTTTATTTCAAACATTACGAGATGCGATCATATTTTTGAATCATGATTCTGATGTTGAGCCTACAGCAGAATGCATCTACATTTCACATAGTTATACTGATTACCCTCACAAGACTCTTGTCTTGGTTCAAGTTTTTAATGCAGTGGTCGAAATTTCAAACGCATTACTGGGTATTGTGAAATCTTCAATTCCAACTGTATTATTACAATTTTTGGCCAGATTATTGATTACTATTGGAATTAGCTACTATGTTCCCGAATCAGAAGGAAATTTTCATTTTATGAGCTATATTACTTTATCATTGGCATGGTCGGTCACAGAAGTTATCAGGTACAGTTTCTTTTCAGCTAAATTAGTTAAAAATGATATTCCTTACGGCTTACTTTGGTTACGTTATTCAACATTTTTCATATTGTATCCAGCTGGATTATTTAGCGAACTGTATGTGGTTTACTTGAGTTTAGATTCTGTACGTGGATACGCTTATTATTGGTTTCTAATCTTTGCCCTTACTATGTACATTCCAGGATTTTTCGTGTTATATGGATATATGATTAAACAAAGAAAGAAAGTTTTGAATGCCAGCAATGCTAAAAAGTTGCAATGAAATATTTCTTTTCTTCCCAATCAACTGAGTCTAATAAAATCTATAATTTAAATAGTAATATTACAAAAATCTATGAAGCTTGATTTAGGAAACAACAACATCGTGCGGTATAAATCCGAGCGAGCTTTCCGAATTTTTATTCCTTATTTTAGATATTATCCAGTCAAAAGCTAATTCCTTAAGATGACATCTAGCAAGCCAGAAATCACCTCCCAAAGATGGTTAATTGCCTACAATTCCATTTCTGCTTCTTTGTGGTCGATTGTATTTTTTAATACTATTTTCTTGAGTTTATCGTTGGGTCAACCTTACTTTTTTGATATGACCAACAAAATTACCACAGTAATTCAATGCTTTGCTGTTATAGAGATTTACAACTCGGCCACAGGAAATGTTAAATCTCCTTTGTTTACTACCGTGACCCAGGTATTTTCAAGATTATTGATTGTTATTGGTATTTGTCAAGTATTACCTGAATCGCCTGCAAACGTTCATTGGTGCTTTATTACGTTATGTTTATCGTGGTCAATTACCGAAATTATTAGATATTCTTACTATGCATCTAATTTGCGTTCTCCTGGAAAAGTGCCTTATTATTTGACTTGGGCTCGTTATTCATTATTCTTTGTATTATATCCAACCGGTGTTATGTCAGAAATGTTTATGATTTATTTGTCTCTTAATGAATCTCAAAATGTTGTTAGTTATTTGTATACCTGGTTTTTGAAGGCTATGCTTTTCACCTATTTACCTGGATTTTACATGTTGTACACTTACATGATCAAGCAACGAAAGAAGGTTTTAGGAAAACCAAAGTCTTTAAAAAAAACTGAATAGACTTGAAGTGTTTATTATTATATATTCTATAACGAATCTGGTTGTTTTGCTGACACCAGCAGATTAATTTCATCAATCCAGCCAATTAATTTTTCTGTATAATCAACAATTGTATCACTGTCTAAAAATTCATGTGCTTTTGGCTGTGATGTAGATGAATTTCCTAAAAATGAACTTAACGAAAACTTATTCTTCTTATTCTTCGTTTTGAATGCAATATTTAATTTGTTCTGTTCAAAGACTACCCTTATTTTACTTCGAATAAAGACCAGGTCGTACTTTGCACACAACTTTGTTAATATTTTTGTTACTAAATAATTTGACACATATTGATACCACCTAAGGTTCCAACTTATCAACTTCATAAGGTTGAGCAATATGAAGTCTAGTGTCAAATAGTCTTCCTCTAATGATCTAATAAATTCATCATGAACTTCTCCCGATAGATTCAAAATTAGCTTGTGTGCATGAAACTTCAATTCGTAATCATCGTACAAGGCACTTATGTTGGAGTCGAGAACTTCACTAAGGATAAATTCGTCGTATATCTCAAGTAACTGAATCGTGCCAAAATAATCAAATCCTCCCTGGGCAGCAGTTCCCATGACACTTGTCATTAAAGAACTTATGGACTCATTCAAGTTATATTTAACTGCCCAGCCTAATAAGCCTAGCATTTCCCATTCAATAGCGCTATGATGTTGTTCTTTATCATGGGCAGTGATAAGCATTAAACTTTTTAAATCTTCATATATGATCAAAAATAGTTGATCTAACCAGCTGGAACAGACCACTTGAGTATTCTCTTTGACATTATTATTAACAATATATCCCGGTTTTGAATTCTTTGATATTACATTCAGGCCCTTGAAAACACCTTCTTTTATCCGGATAAGGTCATCCCAGCCAACTAAAGCTATTAGGAGCGACAATAAATCATAACACCTACCCCATGTGGATTTCCTATCGAAGTCTAAAATTGATGATGATGGTGTACCAGCTGATTGTGCTGAAAGAATAATTTTTGCTGAAGAGGGACCACATAATCTGATAAGATTTGGATCAACAGATGATAATTCACGGGCTGAACTATTCATAAGAGGAGATTGGTAAAACTGATTCCCATTTATAGGATGACGAAGATGTGAGTTGAACAAGAACAAATCCTTCCAAATCATCTGAACTGAACCTTCATCTATCAATGTATCATCTGACACAGGTTTCTTTGAAAGTGAGACGTATCTAGGATAATTAGAGGCATATGATTTAGGCCTTGGAAAGTATGCCTCAAATGTTTTCTCTGAGATCACTTCTTCATTATTGTTAAGTCTGTCAACGAAAGTTTCTATATACATATCCTTAACTCCAGCAACACTATCAGTGTCAGTAATTTTTAGTTTCTGAGACAAAATGATAGGAATGGAATTCATCACTAATAAAGCATTTGAATAATCTTGAACAAGAATATAGCATAAGGCCAAATTATACCAAGTCTCAAAATCAAGAGGAAGTATTTCGATACAGATTTTCGCTATTTTCAAAGCAGTTTTGTAATTTTTTTTCGATATTAGAAATTTAACTTGCTCTGTTAAAACCAACGCCAGTTGGGTGTTGTGAATATTCATAGAATTGAAATGCTTATGTATCAATCTGATGTATTCTCCTTCTTTGTTCGAGCCACTCTGAACTTTAAGAATTTTCAAAATGACTATATCCCATTCTCCAACATCTTCCACGCCGACATAATATCTACGTCTTATTTCATTTATTGTAATATCACTCACTTCACCACTGGTTTCTAAATGACAAATTCTTAATAAAGAATCAATTATAGAATTTTTATACTGATTGGTCTTCTTATTAGATTCTCCGCTTCCACCCGTCCCCGTAATACTACCAATAGCAGGGTCCGTTTCAGTCATATTACCTTTATTCAAAAATTTAACTAGTAGTTTCGCAGATTTAATTATGACTTGTTTTGAACTTGTCATATTTGCATAGCTAACCAAACCAGTGATTTGCTTGTCGGGATTATCAAGGTGGCTAAATAATCGTACTATCTCAGATACAGTCAACTCCTCCCAAAAAGCAGATGATAAATTTTTTATCGTTTGCTGACTGAATGAATATACCTTTCTATTTCTTGAATCCAAACTGTTCGGAATAACCTGATAGGACTTTTCAATCTTAACCGATGCATTTTTCGAAGACCCAAACGTACGAATTTTAAACTTTGAACGTAAGTCAGCTTTGCTGAATATGTTGTATGTGCAATACGTTACAACAATATCTCTTTTGCAGTTGGTTGACAAATCAACGCTAGCATCTTTTTTCCATCTAAACTCTTCGTCTTTCTTCTCTAACCCGATTAAATCGCAAATATAGTCTTCAATAGTATCTTCGTTTTTGTCAAATCTTATACCATTAGCATAATAATAATATCCAACATATCCATCTTCATCCTTTGAATATGATTCTTCGTTCGCCTTCCATTTCTTAGATATGAAATCATTATTTAAAAATTGGGACGATCTAGATCCAAAATGCTTACCCCAGTGAATTAAATCAGGTGGTCCATTACAAGTATCTGGATTTATTGTCATCTGGGAATTTGATCGCATTCCAAGAGATTTCCCATAGTATGGTTCTCGTATGCATGGTGTAATTAACCGATTCGTTTCTTTGTCTTCCAAATCACTTGTGGCCGAGACGTACGAAGAGATGGAAGTTGACGAATTGTATGAGGACAAGAATGGCAAAGAAGATGTAGACGCTTTATTCTTTCTATGTCCCTTTTCGAAGCCTTCATTTATCGCCATCGGGTCGCCCATATTTACTTCTGTTCTTACCCTATATGTATAGGTCTTGATTTGTATAATCCGTCTATCATTTTATACTTCTCTCGAGTATACACTTTCGGTATATGCAGGTTACTTATTTACAGTTCACAAAGATTGTACCTAATTGTCTTGCAGCTAAATAATATCTATACACCTTCCTGGAGCCCTTTGTACTGCTCGAATTGTTCTATCAAAGTCTTAAGATCATCCATAATATTGGATATTGGTTGAATTTGACTGAAGTCAATATATCCTCCGTTATCACCCAAGAGGCTCATTTGCTGTCTTAAATGCAATGTCGCAACACAATTCTCGATTCTAGTAACTATATGGTTCAAAAGCCCCATTAAATCACTTTCCTTAAATGATGAATTGATTTTTTGAGAAATAATATCAGATGAATTCATTTGGAATCCTTCATTAACGTGAACACCGCCATTAAGGCACGAACAAATATTCTCCAATCTTAACGATACGGTCCTTAAACCATAAATGCTATCCACCGGTAAGGTTCCAACAATTCTAGTGCTCGATTGCGAATCTTCAAGGTGGAAAAGCCTCTTCTGGAAGATTTCAAATCTCACTTCTAATTTTTTTGGGTAAACTAAGGTAATCAACTCGGGTGTTTCTAAACCCTTTAATTTCTTTTCGCCCAATTCAAAAAATGACCATTTAATTTCTTCAATCGAACGAAGTTCTCTTTCAATTATCTCACCTCCACGAACATTACCTTGGTAAGCATCGTAAAGGGTTGTTGCACCACTTGCAACATCGTCATGTATTTTATATAATGCCCTAATTTCTCTCAAGAAGTCTGAGCTGACCGCAATTTGACCACCATCAGCAATAGCCATAATACGGGATGCACGATTAACCATGGGACCGAAATAATCCATTCTACGAGTAACATAATCAAGCTCACACACAGGTGAACCCCAATGTATACCCATACGTACTGATAATCCTCTGAAGATTATTTCACCTTTACTGTCTGTAACTTCACAACAATGGTCAGTTTCCAAGATTTCCGCAGGCCAATCTTGTTTTAACAATTGTTGCTGAACATTGAAACACCACAATAATGCCGCTGTGGGTGATGGAAACGAAACCATAAATGCATCACCTTCTGTTTTAACTTCATAACCTCCTACTATTCTTAGTTGACGACGCATAATAGCGTTATGAATTTTAATGGCAGATCTCATTGCAACAGGGTATGAGTCCCATAATAGTGTTGAATTCTTAATATCGGTGAATGCCAATGCTAATGTGCCCTCGGGTGGTTCTATTTCTTCTTCCAATCTCCTTAAAGTAGAGTCGCCAACTAATAGTTGAGACCTATCCCTTCTTTTCTTTGCAAAAACATCATTCTCCTGTCCCAAATTATTATAAAACGCATTTGCACCAAACTTCATTCTGTTTGGTTTCTTCTCTCCCAAAGTAACAACTATTACTGCCATCTTATCAGTCGCACCATAACAGATCGCATAATCCCTTAATTTTTGAGCAGCAATCATAGGATCATTCTTCTCTTGTCTTAAAATATCAACCGCTATTTCAAATGTGATATAGTTCCATAATACCTTTGTAGCCATAATAATCATATCATCCGCCGAAGTTAATTCAATTTCACTTATGTCTGGTCCTGAATGCGTATGAGGTAAATAGTTGAAAAATCCAACACCACGAGAAACGGCTAAGTCACCGTCCAACGCACCATCACCAGAAACATAGCCACCCGAAGCTCTAATTCTTTCAAATTCTTTTCTACTTGTTGGACTATGCTTCGTTGTTAATAAAACATGATCACCATTACTTGTAGATAATAACGTCTCAACATCACCAATATTAGCAGTATAAAGTTTTTTCTCTTTTATATAAATAATGGACATAGCACAGCCTGCTGCTGCATCATCACGAAGGTTTAAGTCTGCGAACTCTGGACTAATCTGAGAGCTGGGGTTAAAGCAATCATTCTTCTTTGCAGATAGTATACCATTTATTTCTTTGTTCAAAGAAAGGAAAGTTCTTCGTATAGCATCTTGAATTTCCTCTTCATTTTTCAACTTGTTTAATTCACTAGTGAAGTTGGGAACGAAGAGTGACTTTGCTAGTGCTGATATCCGATGGCTGTGGTTAGGAGATCCAGATTTTCCATCAAATGAGCATATTAAGACTTCATTTTCATTACCTCTAAATTTTTGTAAGAAAATATCTCTACTTGAGACAAAATCTCGCATACCCATTGTATCGGAAACCCCATAACCAATATTATCTAATTCTGACGCTGTAGTTCTAATGCGCATATCAATTGTGTGATCTGGGACTGATGTTGTTGTCAAAGTGACATCTATTAATCCAAGTACCCTCAAATTTTTTAAAACTAACAAACTATCAAAATCTTCTCCTGTATCTGGATTCTTTATATGACTCTGCTTAATTTCAAACCTTTTATTACCTGAAAAATTCAAATATTTTAAGTTTTTGTTCCAATGCCAATTCCAATCATATGGCCAATTTGAAATATTATATTTCAACTGATTCGACCCAACATCTAAATGTTGCAAATTAACTAATTTGCTCAATTCTGCTGGAAGTGAGACAAATTTGTTATTATTCACGTATAGTAATTTCAAAGACTTAATACTATCAAAATCATCCGTAGGTAAACTAGTAAGTTCATTTCCTGATAAATATAATTCAGTCAATTTTGTCATCCTTCTCGTCGCACCTTCTGGAATTTCTAATAGATCATTATACGACAAATTCAAGGTCTTCAATTCAACTAGAAATGAAATTGATTCGAAGCAGTCATCATCTAATCTGTTATCAGCTAAGACTAAAACCAATAAACTGTCTGCCAAAGAACCTGAAGAATTATTAAAGTTCACTGATGATGAACTGCTTTCTTCATAAGAAACCCCTTCACTCCGCTCTTCAATGAAGCCGATAGGTTCTACAGGGGTAGTTGTGCTGTCGCTTTCGATCACAGACTGGACAGACGGCCTTCTAGAATCAGATTCCAGCCTAAGGCCGTTCGTAGGGCTTTGCCTAAAATTAGCTGTAGATGAAATTCTTTTAGCCAAAGACAATGGTGGCTTCGGTAATGTGCTGATCATATTAGACGAAACGTTTAAATAAGATAATGATTTAAGATCCCAAATGTCATTAGGTAATAACTGTAAATTATTTGAATGCAAATCCAAATATTGTAAGGATGTCAATTTACCAATTGAAGGTGGTAACACTTGCAAATTATTACCATAAACTGATAAATAGGCAAGCTTACTTAATTTTGCAATCTCATTGGGTAAGTTAATTAAATGATTCTTATCCAAAACCAACTTTTCAATGTTTGAGATTTTTTGCATAAACTCGGAAGGGATGGCGGTAATCTTGGCCTTCGATAAATCTAGAACTGCCAAATTCGGTAGCAAAGTGTCAAACTTTAGATTAGTAATTGGGTTTCTATCAAAATGGAGCAATCTCAAGCTTTCCATTTCATCATTAAAGGTGGAAATATTGTTCTTCGAAGCGTAAAGAACTTCTAAATTAGGTAATGATCCTAAGACATCAACATTTGTAAGCTTGTTGTACCTTAAATCAAACCTTTTCAACATAACTAAATTGCTGATATATGGCGGTAATGTCTTGCTTAACTTATTTGTTGATACATTCAATTTAACCAACTGGGATAATCTTCCAATTGACTCTGGTAAATAAGATAAGTCATTATAAGACAAATCTAAATCTGCCAAATTGCTTAATTCACTAATTGCTTCAGGATAAGCTTCAAAATAATTTGATGACAAGTTCAATGATACCAAATTCTGTAATTTTCCGAAGGATTTAGGCAACGAAAATAATTGATTTGAATTTAACTTTAAATGTGTTAAGTTTCGTAAATGGTTTATTTTTGATGGCAAGTCGTCTAAAAAGTTCTTCTCCATGTCCAAATGAGTTAATTGTTTAGCCTCTAAGAAATTTATTGGAAATTTCGAGCATCCATTCCTAGAAAATATAATACTAGTCAAGTTAGTACAAGACTGAATAAAATCTAAAGGAATATAAATGGATGGATTATCTGATACATTCAATTTTTCAATTTCGTAAGTATGCTGATGGAAAATGATGGGGATATTTTTCAAATCTGAGTTCGAAATATTCACATCAACGTAATCCTTAGAAAGCATGATTTCCTCTTCGTGAGTCAAACTCCTCAAATAAATATTTTCTACCACGAATTTGCAAATATAGGATAAATCCTCTCTTCCGATAATCCTTAAATTATCATTATCAGAATATCCACTTAACATTAATAAGCCCATTTGAATCTTCAATGGTTTCTCAAAAGGCTCCAATACCTTAACACAATCACCTATGTACACGGATATTTGATAATTTGCGATTGATTCAAGAAAGAATTTCCTTTGTGCTATGCTTAGTAATTCTGCAGTAGTAGTTTCTAATGGGCACAAAATCGTGGTAAATGTATTGTCTTCTTTGAAAACTCTGACTATGTGATTTGGTCCTTTTGTAAGATTTTTAGAATCCGATTGGGTAGGAACTTCGTGCGAAATATTACTTGAACCATATAACACAGGTAGATTCGACCTTGTGCTTTGTGGCTTCTCCGAGCGAAGTTCTGATTTTTCCTTTTTCAGTTTCCTAAGAGAAACTTGTGCTGTATTTGATAGTTTGTTGGTCGACTTATCGTTTAACTGCTTCATGGAAGTGCTTAAAGTTGATGACGTGTCAGCGCTACTAACTCTATCATCTATTCTATCTTCATTATCGGAATCAGATAGTGATCTGTTATCGATTTTAGCCGAATAGGAAGGGTCATTCAATTTGACATCCCAACTGTCTGGAGCTCTCCAAGCTCCTCCCGAGCGATTTGCATACTGTTTTGCATTGGCACTGCCAGCGGGTATGGCTGAAGAAACACTGGATGATGATTTTTGCATTGCAACATTTACATTATCAGATGTTTGCTGTAGTGGAGCTATATTACTGGCATCGTTAAGATTGAATGTGAACGAAGTTTCACCAAAATCATCATTTAAGGGATTCTTATTCTCATGAGTTGTAGGTTGATTTGGACTTTTCACAATACCTTGCATTTCATTTATGTCCATATCTAGATCAAACGAAGTAGGTGCTATCTTTTTTTCACCTCCTGGTTGATTTCTTCTTATTTCTGCCTTCGATGCTGACTGAGCTCTAGGATGATAGTTATGCTCTTCATTTTCATTTTTATGTGAGTGGTGGTGATGGTCCAACGATATAGAAGGAATCCTAAACTTATGTTTAGAAGAAGTAGAGCCAGTCGAGCTAACACTCTTTTTATTGTTTGCCTGTTGCTGACCTCCATTATTTCCCGATGAATTACGACGCTGTTTATCTGTGGCTTCAGCTTCATCTAATTCTAAATCGATAGAATGCTGTGGTGTCTGTTCAGTCGATTGCTGAGAACTTTCGGAATCTTTTCTCGACGAATAAATTAATTTTCCTAATAATGAAGAGCCCTTCTTCCTGAATCGTGGCTTTATTGGATGTGCTAGAGGGGGAATATTGGCTAAACCCTTAGGGCGCTTATTTGCATGAAATCCCTTATAGTTGTCTTTAATATAACTCTGTTCCGCACTAGCAGCGACTTCGGAGTTAGTGTTGCTTTGATTCGGTGGTGTTGAGAGAGATACTACCGATGACCTTGGACTATAGTTCATATCATTATTATATCCCACCGAACTATTTCTTGCTGGTATCTTTTGCTGTTGTTGCTGTTGATTTGCTTGCGCCAGATTTGCTTGCTGGGTATCCTGTACTTGATTTCCCTTCAATTGGCCTTGCTGTTCCCCAGCCGTAGTTCTATCTTCATATTCGTTGAATTTGCTATTGAAAAATATCTGGCCCTCGTTCCTGTCGTTAGAACTCAAGGATGATGACGACGAAATCGGGTATACTCCATTCGACGACAGTTTCTTAGCAAGTTTAGGTCTAGCGTTTGCCCCGCTTTCAGACCCACCTGAGCCGTTGTTAGCGTCCAATTGATTTGACGCAGTATTCATATCAGAACCTTCAAAATTATCTGTCATGGGAGAAGGCGGCTCTTGAAACTTATTACTATTCATTTCGTCGGTCTCACGATTATTTGAATTACTCGTAGATATATTATACTGGCCGGCAGCAAAACTATTAAATAAGTTGCTCTTTGATTTATCTTTTCTCAAGAAACTCATCTAGCAATGAATAAACGATCAATGAACAACGTAGTATATAAATCTAATTTTCGTAATGTATGCCAAAAAGGATAGACGGGAGGTTGAACGACAATTAAAATAAATTGTATACAGTACAATGATATGTTCACAATCAGCGTATACAATACGAAAATTTCATTGATTTATGTTCATAATCGAATAATTTCATTAATTCGATGGTTTCATTTATACGTATTCATTCTAATACAAGTAGTATAAACTTACCAATAAACACATATAATGAGCAGGTCTTCGAGATCAATAAATCATAGGCTTAATGATTTGTTAAGCAAGAGTAAGTATATAAATTGGGGAGTGAATGAGCCGAATGATTTCAAAAATGCATACTAACAATTAGGAAATACGGAAGGGTGTAACATTGATCCTGAAACGAGTATTGCTTATGCCGACGTATTGAAAGGCAATATTTTAGGGAAGGATAAGCAGGAAAAAGTAAATTCGATTGTGATATTTGCCAAGTTGTTGGACGTAGTTGAACATAGTGACACTATTTCTGATGAACTAGGTAGAATGCTCGACCACGAACTCATGGAAACCCTATTGGCAGTGATTTCGTATAATATGTCGATCGAAACATATAAGGCTATTATGAGGACGTGCATGATAATTATTTCAGGGTCTTTATTCAGGTTTGTTAACGAATCGATTGAAGATTATTTGCCGGTATTTGATTCCTTGACGGAATATATTGATAATATTGACGTTATCGTGAATAAGCTTCAGTTGCAAGATAGCAAGATTAACTCCTATACGTTGAGCTTCGTGACGGATTTAATTAATACCGCATTAAACTTCGACTACGATGGGATAATCCCAATAGCTGAAAGACTAAAGCAAGTAGATTTTTTTGGCATAGTAGACAAAACAATATCTACTGAGGATGAAACCATAGAAGAACTGGTTGTTCTGTTAAAGATTGTATATTATAGATTAAATGAATTTTTGCAAGTGACAAGATTTAACTTGACAATCAAGTCTCATAAGATGTTATTAGAAGGTCTTTTCAGTTCATTGGACATGTCTTTAAATGAGAGCGGTACACTTGCAACCCCCCAAGATTATGCTGAAGCTGGCTTTACGGAAAACCCTAAGGAGTATGTTGCAAACAATTTTTCTATTTTGTCGGCAATCGAGCTTGGAATAGTTTTAAGAAATCCTATTCAAACGTTTAAAAAGAGATTCCACCAAGAGTTAATGCTAGACCATAAAATAACGTTCCCACTCAGCATTTTTATAAATAGAATAGTGGAAATGTGGGTTAGTATATTCGAAGACATCGAGCAATACCCAAATATCCATTCATTAGTCCTTAAATGGGAAAAGATGATTTACTATTCTATGACTAGCTGTTTGGTATTTTGGCAAGACGCAAAATGTCAGTTAGATGTAGCCGATGATGTCGACAAGATCGTAGAATTGCTAAAGCCAAATATTGAAAAATTAGAATATAAGAAAACCGAATCTGTTGAGGAGTGTTTAAATTCGTCGAGTCTGATTGATAATTTAAGAGGGATTCAAGTACAAAATCTCAAACGTCTCCACCATCAGAAATGGAATAATAAACTAAACCAATTTAATGAACATTTATCCAACGAAGCGATGGATTTTCTCTGTGAACAGAGAGTCATCCAATTGTTAAAGGGCTCATGGGTTTATACAGAAAAATATGGTCAGTATCTATTGAACCGTGAGAGCCCAAAACCGTCTCACAAGTATTATTTCATATTGCTATCACCAAACAGAAAGCAGATCTATTATAAGAAATTTTCAGAAAAACCGTCCATTACCCCTTCTTTCGAACAGATGGAAAGTCATTCAATTAAGTTAGCTGAGATCCTCAATTTTCAGTCAACAAAACTTAACGAAAAGCTGGGTGACAAGGAAAAGAGTAACAATAACGTTGTTTCAGTCAGAGGAACTATCTCCTACGAGAAGCTAATCTTGGTTGGCGCAAATGATACTAAATTGCTTAGTTTTGTTACCGATACAGAAGTTAACAAGTACGTTTGGTTAGACGGTTTAAAAATGTTAAAAGGAATGGTCAATAAGGGTGATCTTTCTGTAGAAACAGAAAGACAATTAAATTATTTGATAGATATTAGAAGAACTACGCAATTGCTTAATCTTGAGGATAAAGAAGTGGAAAACTACATTACCGAACATGCTAATAATAGTGATGACGATGATTCCTACGATTTGAATGAATTATCAGAGGTTACAAAAGATACTTATTTTTACAAGTAATCTAAAAAATGGAAGCATTTTCAACGGGGTTTTAATGTATTTAGGCACCACTTATAGATTTATATAATATGATGTAACGCTGTACAATCTTTTATTCGTATTTTTAGACATGGCATGCTGCAACTCAAATGGTTATGTAGCTCTGTCGATTTTGATTTTCAATGAGATTTAATTTTTTATGCTCATCTCATTGAAGAAGAATTCATTAAGGTCTGAAAGACAAGGTAATTATTCATAAACATCATGGCAAAGAAGAGTAATAAGGTATCTGCTATAGAGGCTCCTTCACAGAAGGATTTTATTTTGACTATTGATAGTGACTCCGAGGGAGACAATGAAATACCTGACCTTGAAGAAGAGTCTGAAGTGGATCAAGAGTTGAAGGAAGAAGAGAATCCAAATCCAAAATCAAAATCTAAGAAAAATAAGAAGAATAAAAGTGGTAACAAGGATCAAGAACCTAATGAAGAACAAGAAGAGATAAATCCTAATTTCAAGTTTTCATTAGATGGGTTTGAGACTAGTACAGCATTCGATGGATGGGATTTCAAAGTAGAATCCAATGGAGAGGTATCCAAAAAGCCTACAGTTAAAGATGTTGATTTAGATGGAATCTTGAGAAGGAAAGGTGGTCTAGCAAATTTGGCTGGGTCTGACATTAAAGTTGATGAAAAGATCGAGGATGTGGAATCTGAAGATGACGAAGATGAACAGGAAGAAGGTGATGATGATGATGAAGATGATGACGAATTAGCTCTAGATGGGTTTGGAATGAGCGCTACAGAACCATCCGCAAATATTGAAAATGCTGAAGACGAGGAAGAAAGCGAAGATGACGATGAAGCAGTCGAAGCAGATATGGACGAAGAACACCCAGGCTCGGACGAAGAAGATGAAAATCCCGTTGAGGATACTGCGGAGGATATGGCTGAATTTTATGCTGATGAAGAAGAAGCAACTACAGCTAAGAAACAACTTCATAATACTTTCCAAAGTTTACAATTATCACGTCCTGTTTTAAAAGGGTTATCACAATTGGGATATACAAAGCCATCTCCAATTCAGTCTGCTTGTATTCCAATTGCTTTGCTTGGTAAGGATATAGTTGCTGGTGCCGTTACAGGTTCTGGTAAAACTGCTGCATATATGATTCCAATAATTGAAAGATTATTGTATAAGCCTGCAAAAATTTCATCGACCAGAGTTATTGTATTGGCTCCTACAAGAGAATTGGCAATTCAAGTCTGTGATGTTGGTAAGAAAATTGGACAATTCGTAAATAATTTGAACTTTGGGTTAGCAGTAGGTGGTCTTAATTTAAGACAACAAGAACAACAATTGAAGACTAGGCCTGATATTGTCATTGCAACACCAGGTAGATTAATTGATCATATTAGAAACTCTCCGTCGTTTTCGATTGACTCTCTTGAAGTCTTGGTAATCGATGAAGCTGATCGTATGTTGGATGAAGGATTTCAAGCTGAATTAACCGAAATATTGTCTTTAATTCCAAAGCACAAAAGACAGACATTATTATATTCTGCTACAATGAATACTAAAATTCAAGATTTGATCCAGTTATCTTTACAAAAGCCAGTTCGTGTGATGATCGATCCACCTAAATCCGCAGCAACTAAGTTAATTCAAGAATTTGTTCGTATCCGTAAAAGAGATCACTTAAAGGCGGCGTTGTTATTCCACTTGATAAAGAGTGTTGACCCAAGTCAACAAAATCGTATAGTTGTTTTCGTTGCGAGAAAAGAATCAGCCCATAAATTGAGAATTATTCTAGGACTTTTAGGTATGAGAGTTTCAGAATTGCATGGATCCTTGACCCAAGAGCAACGTCTTGCTAGTGTTAATGACTTCAAGAATTTAACTGTTCCAGTTTTGATTTGTACTGATTTGGCTGCAAGAGGTTTAGATATCCCAAAAATTGAAATTGTCATTAATTATGATATGCCAAAAACTCACGAAATTTACTTACATAGAGTCGGTAGAACTGCGAGAGCTGGAAGAGATGGTAAGTCTATCACATTCGTGGGTGAATCCACACAAGACAGAGCAATCGTCAAGGATGCAATTAAATCTATAAGTGACGAGCAAGCAAGAAACTCAAAGCAAGGTAAAGCAGTTTCTCGTAATGTTGATTGGAAAGAGGTTGAGGAATTGAACAAAATAGTTGAATCCAAGGCGACAGTGATTGAAGAGGTGTTAGACGAAGAAAAGCAAGCAAAAGAAATATTACATGCTGAAATGGAATTGGCTAAAGCCACTAATATGATTAAACATGAAAAGGAAATTCAATCACGTCCAAGACGTACGTGGTTCGAATCTGAAAAGGATAAGAAGCATCAAACCGAAGTTATGCAACAATTAACGAAACACGGTAAGAAAGTTAATTCCAAAAAGAGAAAAGCAATTGAAGATAAGAAAGAGAACACCTCAAGGTCTTATAAGAAAACTAAGCAAGATAGAATGACTCAGAAAAAGCCAAAATCAAAGGGTAAGCATAAGAAATAGATTCGTTTTTATGTGTATATAGTTCAATAGATACAAAATTGTCGCTTGATGTCGTGACAAAATTATTAGCGCGATGGTTTAATCTTTATCAACAGTAAATGCCAAATGTCTCATTAGTACTACCTATAGAAGAATTAACATGACAAATCAAAATAGATACGTCGAAGTATTTAATGGAATCTATTCTGCTGACATAACTAATCCTTCTAAGCTATTATTTCAAATAGTAATATTACAAAGTTTTTATTATATAACAGCGCTAGTGATATTTTATTTAATTTCCTCATTGAACGGATATGACTTCAAAATAGATTGGATATTCCTGTGGGAATTGATATCACTGGATAATGCAATGGGATTGATTCTTTTTGCATTATGGTTATTTGATTCTTTGTTATGTGTGTTGTTCGTTACAATCGTGGTTGGAAGATCGAAATTAGCGTGGGATTTTGCCATTACTATTCATATAATAAACCTAATTGTGGTGTGGTTATATACGGGTAAATTTCCAACATCAACTTTATGGTGGTGCTTACAGGTACTAAGTGCCGTGTTATTGGTTACTTTATCGACATATCTGACTAGATGGAAAGAGTTACGAACTACATTTTTTGAAAATATGTTGGATCAACAAGAATTGGGAGAAGTTGACCATTCGAATAATCAGAATATAGAAATGCTGAATTTGCCGGATGTGTCACTGTCAAGCAAATAAAATACTGTGCAATACGTGGGTAATTATTCCAACTCATAAAGAATCGACATTGAATCTATTTAGTATGATACTTTACTGTATATGTAGTGCATCCGTGAGAGATTGAAAATAATATTTATTTTTCTAATTATAGCAAAAAAATAAGTCTAGTTGGTTTTTTTGATAATAACTCAATTCTTCTCGCTTTGAATTAGATTGAAATAAATTGTCTCTAAATCATCTTCACTAAGTCGAACGTATGTCTTTAGATAATTATCAATGCCACCAAATTTTCTGTCAATTATACTAATCGTAGCTAACATTGTTTCGCATCTTGAACTTACTAAGTTGTTAAACCCATCCTTCTCAACATACCAGTCGCTACGGCCCTGCCTCAAGTTGGATTCAAATTCTGCGTATGTTTCATGCCTTTGGAAAATGCCAATTCCAGCCAAATATTTCTCTCTAATATTTTCAAATTCAGGTTTTAACCCTACAGCAGTTAAACTATACTCTCTTGCTATTATGTTTTTATTTACCCCCATAAATAGCAAGATTAGCATGCATACAATTCCAGTTCTATCTTTTCCCGCTGAACAATGGAATACAAACTTTTCACCTTTCAGTACTTCATCACGAATAAATTCAAATATTCTCTTGAATACAGTAGTACTTTGTATTAACATATTTTCATACACTGAAGTATATGTATACCAACTAGTTAATAGATTGGTAAAGCTTCCAAGAATATCCTTGGGTTCCTTCTTCTCATCTAGATCAAAGGGACAATGAAACCTTGTCAATCCAAACTTCAGGAGCTCTTCATCATTAATACACCTCTTCGATTCACTTTTAGTACGAAAGTCGAATATAGTCTTTATTCCCAAATCTTGTAGTTTTTCTAATCCAGAATCTCGAGATACATTATCCATAGAAGCACACCTAAAAATAGTGTTAGGCTTAATATATAAAAAGTCATTAGTGTCGTAAGAGCGAGGTGAATTGATTCTCCACCCTCCAATATCCCTAAAGTTACTAATACCTTGGATCAGGTGCCAGCGGGATGAGCCTCTACCCTGAAGACTAATACTGAAAAACCTTTGAATTTCATTTTCAGATCTTAAATAGTCAATTATTACTTCATGCACTGCATTATTAAA